CTGGGACCCCCCCCAAGGAACCCCCTCACCCCATGGGCACCCTGAGCCTCCCCTTGCACAGGACCCCTCCCCTTGGGGACAGCCCTCCCCCGGTGACCCCCCCCACGCCCCCCGGTGTCCCCCGGCACGGACCCGCCCAGCTCCTGGCGCGTGGTGACCGAGACCCCCTGGCCGTGTCCCCCGGGCCGCAGCAGCAGGTTCCCCCTGCCCGCGCTCTGCTCCAGCAGCCGCTCGGCCTCGGCGCGTGTCACCTGGAAAAAGCAGCTGGGGACCCTGGGGACCCCCCCGCTGTCACCCCCAACCCTGCCCCGCCACCGCCGGGCCACCCCCAGCTGGGCCGTGCTGGTCCCAGTGAGGATGGGGACACCCCCAGCCCCCGACACCCCCGACTCACGGCTCAGAGGGGCTGGGGGACACGGGTGTCACCGGGGACACGGCGGTGGCCGAGGACACGGGTGTGACCCGGGACACGGCGGTGGTTGGGGACACGGCGGTGGCCGGGGTGGACACGGCGGTGGCCGGGGTCACGGCGGTGGCCGGGGACACGGCGGTGGCCGGGGACACGGGTGTGACCGGGGTCACGGCGGTGGCCGGGGACACGGCGGTGGCCGAGGGGGACACGGCGGTGGCCGGGGTCACGGCGGTGGTTGGGGACACGGGTGTGACCGGGGACACGGCGGTGGCAGGGGGCACGGCGGTGGTTGGGGACACGGGTGTGACCGGGGTCACGGCGGTGGCCGGGGACACGGCGGTGGCCGAGGGGGACACGGCGGTGGCCGGGGTCACGGCGGTGGTTGGGGACACGGGTGTGACCGGGGACACCGCGGTGGCCGGGGGGGACACGGCGGTGGCCGGGGACACGGCGCTGTCCCTGCGCTCCTGCTCCTCCCGCAGAGCCTGCAGCAGCTGGAAGTTGTGTCCGGGCAGCAGCGCCAGGTCCCGGGGTATCTTCATCTGCGGGGGGACACGGGCTGGTGGCACAGAGGGGTCCCTGTCACCCCGGGACCCCCGGGCAGCGCCCCGCGCCCACCTCGGCCATGGTCAGGATGAATCCCCGCCACATCTCCTGCGTCTCCCAGCTCTCCGTCTGCCAGGGGACACGGGGACGTGAGGGTGGCCTGTCCCCTGTCCCCTGTGCCCCCCACAGGTCTGCACAGCCCCGAATCCCACAGCCCGGTACCCCCTGTACCCCCAAGTCCTCCCCCCTCTGCCCTCCAGCCCCCCCCAGTCCCAAATTCCTGCCCCCTCTGCGTCCCTAAATCCTTCCCTTACGCTCCCCAGTGCCCCCCTGCAGTCCTTGTCCCAAAACTCATTCCCCTCGTCCCCCCAGTCCTAAATCCTGTCCCCTCTGTACCCCCAGATCCCCCCTCCAGGTACCCCCACTGTCCCCGGTTACCCCCAGCCCCCCATTGCCCCCCCTGACCTTCATTGTCACCTCCTGTCCCCTCAGCTTGAGGACGAGCGCCCCGTCCTCGGCCTGCACGGTCACCAGCTTGCCCAGGTCCAGCAACTCCAGGGTCTGGGGGCACCCAAGGGTGGGACCCCGGCCCAGGGACGCCCCCACCTCAGCCGGGGTCCCCCCAGTGTCCCCTGAAGGTGCCATCCTCGGGGGGCCCCTGCCCAGGGGGGTTTATGGGGACGGGTCCCCAGTCCTGGGGGATTCTCCCCTCGGGGAGGGGGCAGGGGGGTCCCACCTGAGGGGACCCTGCCCCAGGGGCATCTCCAGAGCCCGGGCAGGACGGGGGGGTCCCAATCTTGGGGGTCCCAGAGATCCCGGCCTTGGGGAGCCCCCCCCAGTCCCACCCAAAGGTTCTTGTGCTGGGGGTCCCACCCTGAGGGGCCCCAGCCCGGGGGGGCCCGCGGGGGTCCCGGCCCGGAGAAACCCCGCGGGCCCGGCCGGGACAGCCCGTGGGGGGGGTCCCAGTCCCGGGGACCCGCCCGGAGGAGCCCCGGTACCTCGCCGTCCTGGGGCCCCCGGTAGAAGGCGAGTTCGAGCCCCCGCAGCCCGGCCCAGACCCTCCGGTAGCCCTGCGGGGAGGGACGGGCTCAGCTCCGGCACCGGGAACCGGGAACCGGCACCAGGAACTGGGAACCGGCACCGGGAACAGAGAAACTCCACCGAGAACAGGGAAATGCCACCGAGAACAGGGAAACGGCACCGGGAACGGGGAAACGGCACCGGGAACGGGGAAACGGCACCGGGAACGGGGAAACAGCACCGGGAACAGGGAAACTCCACCGAGAACAGGGAAACGGCACCGGGAACGGGGAAATGCCACCGGGAACGGAGAAACGGCACCGGGAGCTGGCACCGGCACCAGGAACCGGGAACCAGGAACTGAGAACGGGCACCAGGAGCAGGGAACCGGCACCGGGCTCCGCAGGGAACACAGCCCCGGGCGGCTGAGGGGACACGGGGAGTCGGTCCCGGTGGGGACAGTGCCTGGGAGTGCCGGGAGCGGCCCCGGAGTCCCGGGGTGCCCGAGGGTCGCTCCTGCCCTCGGTCCCGGGGAGCCCCAGGCGTTGGCGCTGGGGCCCGCCGGTGATCGGTCCCGGGGGTGCCGGGCTCGGTCCCGGCGGTGTCGCCCACCTGATCCCGCGGCCCCCGCTTGTTCACGAAGCCCTCGTAGTAGTGCCGGGCCCGGGGCCGGGTCCGCCGGGGCAGCGGCACCGGCCGCTCCATCTCCGCCGCCGCGCAGGAGCCGCCGCCGCTCCCGGAGCGGCCCCGCCCGGGCGGGGCGAAGGGCGGCGGGCGGGCGTCCCGGGCCGGGGCATCCCCGGGGCTGAGCCCCCCGGTCCCTCCCTTCCCACGCAGCAGGTGCGGGGCTGCGCCCCCCAACAGGCTCCGGTTCCCCTCCCGGTGTCCCCGGTGCCCCTCCCGGGGCGAAGGGCGGCGGAGCATGGCAGGTACCGGGGGGCGGGGGCGCACCGGGCACCGGCTCCGGGAACCGGGAACTGGGAACTGGGAACGGGGAATCGGACACGCAGCGGGCACCGGGCACGCACCGGGATCGCGCGCACCGGGCACGCACCGGGCGCCGAACACGGGATGGGCACGCGCACACCGGACACGCGCCGGGCAGCCGGTACCGGACACGCACCGGGAGCGCACCGGGAACCGGACACGCGCGCACGGACACGCGCCCCGGCCGGGGACACGCACCGGTCACTCGCCCCCCCCACCCCGCGGACACGCGCGTGCACCTGCCCGAGCGCGCCCCCGCGGGACCTCGGCGGGGACATCCCGGGACATCCCGGGACACCCCTGGGGCAGCAGCGGGGCGGGGACACCCCTCCCCCGGGGACCTGTCGTGGGTCACCCCCGGCCTGCCCCGCAGCCCCCCGGGCTCTGGGGACCTGCTGGGCCGGAGCACGCTCAGCCCCGTGTCCCCCGGCCACGTCCCCGTGCTCGGGTTCCCCAGCCGTGTCCCTCCGCTGTGTCCCCACGTCCCTCAGCCCGTTCCTGTGCCCAGCAGCCGTGTCCCCGTGCCCGCAGTCATTTATTGTCACCCTCCTGTGTCCTCACCCCCCGTGTCCCCACGTCCGTGTCCCCATCTCCCATCCCCGAGTCCTCCTGTCCCTGTGTCCCCTCCGTGCTTGTGTCCCCACGTCCCTGTGAGTCCCTGTCCCCGTGTCCCCATCCGCAGGCAGAAACCAAGGGGGGGACCCGAGGGTGCTCTGGGGGGACACCCGGCCGTGCTGTCACACCGTGTCCCCCCGCAGCGCTGGCGGCCGCCTCCCCCGGCGGGGACGAGTGTCTGGAGGAGGATGAGGATGAGCTGGAGCCGGGGCTGGACGAGGCGGAGGCCGAGCCGGAGGTCGGGAGCGGCGCGAAGGCGGCGGGGGCGGCCCGGGGGGCGCTGCTGACCCGCAGGGGCATCACCCTGAGGGTCCTGCTCCGGGACGGGCTC